AGTGACAGACAGACAAGCAGGCAGACAGACAGAGAAGGTGTGGCATAGAGACAGACAGAGAGAGAGAGGGAGAACGAGAGAAGTGGTGAACAGAGTGTGTTTACTCGGGACCTTAGTTTACCTTTGGCGATTGTGCGTTCTCGCCATGACTTGCACTTTGACCTGCCTATGTAACGCGCATTCGTTTCGTAATGTTCTGGGGTTTATTACGTCACCTTCACAGCTGCATCAATCGTCATTACTCTTCTGTATCGACTGCAAGTTAAATTCAGATCTGATAGGCGCAGGTTTTTCTTTTTTTGAGCACGTTTCTGGTAATTCTTTTGTTTCCCCCTCCCTACCCGTCGACTTTATTTCGCTCCCTTGATATGTATATATATATATATATATATATATATATATATATAATATATATATATATATATATATTAGAGAGAGAGAGAGAGAGAGAGAGAGAGAGAGAGAGAGAGAGAGAGACAGACAGACAGATATGTAACTAGATATAGATAGATATAGATACACACATACATACATGTATATACTTACATATATAAATATATGTATATACATTTATATATATACATATATACATACATACATACATACATATATATATATATATATATATATATATATATATATATATATATATATGTCTGTGTGTGTGTGTATGTGTATGAATATATGTATGTAGGTATATATAGATAGTTTGACAGATATATATGTATATGTATATATCACCCATTCGCTCTTTACCCACTAGCTTCTCCGACTCCCAACTCATGTCCATTCAGTCACTAATTCCCCCGCCCACAGACTTCCTCTGATGACGAAAAAGGAGAAAAATGGAGTCATCGCTACTCATAACAGCGATAATGAGCGATGAAAGTATTACAATAACAGACTTGTAAAATATTTGGGGTAGGATGAGCATAAAGTAGAATGTGTATGGACATACATACACCGCACACACACTTGCACACACACACACATACACACTTAAACACTTACACACATATACATACATGCATACATAAATACACACACACTCACATACTTAGACACAACTACTCTCTCTCTCACGCACGCACACACACACACAAAAGCATCTTCCTCTGTTTTATTCCCTGCATCGTATGTAAACAAGCCAGACGAGGCCAAGGTCTATATAAGTACTTACATAATACTTTTATAGACCTTGGGCGAGGCAGCCCAGGATCTGACTCGAGAACCCAATTCTATGGGAATTATGCACGTCATTCTTACCTTTCCATATTCGATTAATGAATTGTTTAAAAACTTGCGGTTCCATTTTTTCTTGCATATGGGAATATGCCTAATATAACAAACTATACTACCTGTCTATGGGCATTATGGATTACCAGCATTATCTGTGATATTCTTGATAAAATTACCACAATGTGTGAGCCTCGAGGTGCCATCTACCGTTTATTCACGACCATTTTTATACCACCCTTCATGAATGTAGGTTGTGACGTGAGAGAGGAAGAGTCAAAAGCCTTCTCCTGAGGCCGCCGAGAACCGTCATGGAATCACTCCGTTCTTCACTGAGCTTCAACTGGCTCTCTGTCAGGTTCTTCACGAAGGGCTGGGACATCTTTTTGAGGGAAGAAGCTTCGGGTTTGGCCTTCCTCTGTGGTTTGGGTGAGTGGAAGATAGGCGTGCTTCATGTTCACGTTTCCGTGAAGTGATGGTGTAGCAGCCTATATATTGTTGAGTGCCTGCTTTCCATACCTTGCTTGCAGTTATCACTGCTCGTGTTGAGTGACTACCAGGGTTACCACTACCATTGAAGGAACTGAAACGGCTGAGAGTAGAGAGTTAGCATTTGCTGTGGTACCGACCATAGATTGGTTGTGGTTCCTTCCAGTTTCATTTCAAAACCAATCTTCGTTCCCTTGTTCATTCAAGGGCGTTTTACTTGGACAGATTAAGGGAGGGGGGGGGCGTACCCAGATGTTTGAAGAGGCTCTCTCGGACTGTTTCACAGCACTCTGCAACCTGGCCTACCCTATAGTAGTGTGGGATACTTCTAAGCAGAAATCCAATGGTGATTAACCAAGAACAATGGAGAACTTTATTTCACAGGAGACATTGAAGATCATCTTAGATCAAGTTGATATATGTAAACATTTGGTTGAGCTGTATCAGGTTAATCCACCAGCAGTTAGTTTGGGTGCAAATGGTTTTGCAATATCAGTGGCTCCTGGCTTATCTGAAGTTAGACTGGTGTTCTCAAAGTTTGGGGGTGGTAAAGTTAGATATTTGCGGCATCCCTGCTGAATTGTTAAGGACTGGCGATGAACATGTTGCGTGGCATTTGCATGCGTCCAGGGCCCGGATTCATTAACGCACTTACGATGGTAAAATCAGTGGTAACTATAGTTACCATGGTAAACAGACAGCGGTGGTATTCACTAACAACTTGCCATTAGAGTTACCATGGTAAATTTTACCAGTGGTCAGAGCACTGGTAACTTTTTGAAAGACGGTCACCACGTGTCATCTCGTCAAAAAATCAATATTTAAGCAAAGTTTTGGGTTTGTTGTTACACCGGATGTACCTAATATCATGGCAAACACATATTGCAGTACGAACATAGTGAAGAAATGCAAATTTCACATGAAACTAGCAAGAATAAAATCCACACAAATTCTCGTAAAATTATAGGCCTACATTTTCCTAGAAAGCATGGAACCGACAAATAAATAAACTCTTAAAGAATTCTTCTCTGACATAATTATTGCAAATGCTATAGAAAAAACTACATTGCTGATAAGTAACTGGCAATATCAACGCTAAAAGAGTATAGCAATATCTGTGTCTGTCGGCATTTTGACAACTAACACCCAAAGTGCATAGGCAAGAATAAGCTTGAAATATTTCTTTTGACAACAAATGGCAATGAATAAAAACTTTGGTGCGGTTCTTTGTTTAACAGTGATAAAAAATATATATAAATAAAAACTGTTTGGACTGTCTCTTTGGTTTGAGGTAAACAAATAAATATATTACTTTTTCTACATGTGCTTAAATGGTGTTTTAGCTGTGACGGTTAAACAATCTCGCTGTCTGGTTCTGTTTACATGTTGCGTGATTGGCGGAAGGAACCTAAAGATTATGTAAGGCGCTCGCTGATTGGTTGAATTGCTTTGCTAGAGCCTTCCGTTGGCTACCATTAGAATGAGTCGATTTACGATTGTATCCAAATTACCATTTCTTCATGAATCCCCCTTTGCAAAACACAGGTAAACGCAATGGTAAATGACCGCTGGTAAATGCGTTACGAATTCGGTGAAGTGAATTCGGCCCGTGGAAGGTAAAAGAGGGTCTAGTAATCCCCAGGGAATTATATTGCTCAGCATACCAGGCAAGGTTCTCACTCAATGACCACCTACTGAGGCACCAGACTGGAGTAATCTGGGTTCACTCATGACAAATTCACAGTAGAGTTGATCGTGGCAATTTGAGTTAATGCAGAGCACTGTCATAATTTCGGTAATGGACTGCTTACAAACTACATTGATTTCAAGTAGGCATTATACTTGTTGAATCTTTTACCAGAGGTTTGTCTTAGTCCAACTTGTATGCCAATAAATTTTGGTTCTGATCCGGATCATGACCCGAATCCAGGATTTTTTATATTACAGGCTTTATATGCATTGCGAGAAAGGGAAACACGGACGCCATCTGTGTACTTGAGAAAGAGGTGATTTTCGTGATGGAGGTATGCGGCCTCTGAGTGTTTTGATTATTATTATTAGTTGGAGTAGTATTGTTAGTATTACTAGTATTATCATTGTTATTATTATCATCATAATCGCCATTATTGTTATTACTATCAACATCATTCTCATTCTTATTAATATCATTATTGTTATAATTATCATCATTATCATTCTCCCCACCATTAACATAACTTTTGATACTGTCGTTACTATCACCACCCCATATATACTAGCATCATGCAAACCACCTTCCCCTCCTCTCTCTCCCCAGTGGCTATCGTCGACTACCTCCGGGGAAACAGCATGGCGTGCATGGCAGCCCACGCGTGCATGGTCATTCTCGTTCGCAGGATTCTTGCGGGCGGGATCTGCACCTCCACCCGACGCCTGGACGGCAAGACGGTCGTCATCACCGGCTGCAACTCGGGCATCGGGAGGGAGACGGCTCTGGACCTCAGTGGCCGAGGTGAGGCCGGGAAGTCGGGTTTGGGCGAGGTTGGTGTTTACTGGCAATGGCATTGTTAGCGCTGAGATTGGTAGTTTTTTTTTTATTATATTGGTATTGTTGTTGATATTGTCATTACTGTTCTTCTTATTATTGTTGTTGTTATCATTGCTATTGTTGTATATTAATTGGTTGCAATGCGTCACTTTATGGGGGTTTCCACAACTTTGTGGGGAAAATTACCATTCGTTGAAGGAGAACAAATGGAAAAATTACTTTGGGAGTTTTTTGTGGGACTTTCATCCCATGTCAGGCAACATCGAAATCATTTTCATGCATAAAGGATTACTTTTCAACACAAAGGTTCTATTGAAGCAATTGCTTGCACATAATTCTTCTTTCTTTGACATGGATTAAGGGATCCCAATCATCCTTAGATCAGTAAGAAAAGAAAGGTATGACTCGGATTCCGTTGATCACACATTATAGGCCCCTTTCAGACGCGACAGCCAAGCCCGGTCCCCGCCCAGCAGATCTATTAGTTGGCTGTATGTAGATGTATTGTATTAACTGGGCATTATTTATACAATGTATATGTCACGGAGAAAAGGAAGCGGCGACGGGACAGGAGATGGGCTCAGCTTCGAATTTTGGATATTCACACCGTACCGTATTGTACAAATTGAACTCGGGTACTTGCGGTCTAACAGAACCACATTTAATCGGGAAAAACAAAAATATAATACACCAGACCGAACCGAAAGCCAATTATTACTAGTATCCGCAAACACTTCTCTTCCGTCCT